CCTCGGACGTCCTCACCCTCGTCGTCCTCGGCAACTTGAGACTAGTCGGCAAAAATCGCCACCTCGTGCAGGAGTCGGTGCCGGAGCTACTAGTCCAATCCTATTCGGTGTCTGTCATTGCATACAGCCGCATTGCTGTGCATGCCGTGTATGGCATTTGCACTTTCTCTGTTTCCGAGGACAACACAAGGACAAATCAGGAGCGTTTAATTACTATTATTCTTGGGAATCATTGCTAGATGAAAAAGCAAACCCGGGGACATATACAAGGCAAGTGTGAACACTGGTAATTAGTAGATTGATTTTGTAAATTAATTACTAATTTCGTAGATACATCCGGCATGTATCTACAAAGGTACACAATATTTTATATGCAATTTATCGTATCTACATTATCAGATCTATAATTTATTATGTTTACCTAAAGCATGTTTTTTATCCAATATCTATTATGCGAGTGCTTCCGATGTCAAGCCAACTACGGTCTAACGCTGGGGGCTCGTTTTATTTTCTTATGTATAAATCATGCTTGTGTAAGGTTTACATAATCCCTGATATTTAATCTGCTCGTTATATCCTGATAATACTAGAAGATCCATGCAGTTTTTTGACTACATACTCGATTCTCTGCTATATGTCTTGCCTTCTAGAAAATATTTTTCAGGAACAATTGAGCACTCGAGTAGGTTGTGGTCGAGTACACCGCATTATCGAGAATGATCTCGACAAATGCAGAGTCGTCACGCCCAACCTACCAACGAAGACCGACGACCTATCTCATAGCACCGGCCATGGCTGGACTACTCGAGAAAAGGTTGTTAACGGATAATTCCTCGCGAATGCCGTCGGCTTGATTACCCAACATGATTGCGAACGGACATCCGGATATGCTATAAGTTGGGTATGTGAGTCATGCTGGCCACATGAGATGCACATGTAATAAACCAACTCTAGCGCCTCCATTGGTGTTCGAGAGATAATTCTACTCGCTCGCTGGTCTCGAACCAGTACGTAGCAATCCCTCTCACAGCAAACTTCCATTGGTGTTCGAGACATAATTCTACTCGCTCGCTGATCTCGAACCAGTACGTAGCAATCTCTCGCACCGCAAACTTCTATTGGTGTTCGAGAGATAATTCTACTCGCTCGTTGGTTCTCGAACTAGTACGTAACCATCTCTCGTACCGCAAACTTCCATTGGTGTTCGATAATTCTACTCGCTCGCTGGTTCTCGAACCAGTACGTAGCCATCTCTCGCACCGCAAACTTCCATTGGTGTTCGAGAGATAATTCTACTCGCTCGCTGGTCTCGAACCAGTACGCAGCCATATCTCGCACCGCAAACTTCCATTGGTGTTCGAGAGATAATTCTACTTGCTCGCTGGTTCTCGAACCAGTACGTAGCCATCTCTCGCACCGCAAACTTCCATTGGTGTTCCAGAGATAATTCTACTCGCTCGCTGGTTCTCGAACCAGTACGTAGCCATCTCTCACACCGCAAACTTCCATTGGTGTTCAAGAGATAATTCTACTCGCTCGCTGGTTCTCGAACCAGTACGTAGCCATCTCTCACACCGCAAACTTCCATTGGTGTTCCAGAGATAATTCTACTCTTGGTCGAGGTACGACTACAGCAATATCGCAGTGGTCCTCGCACCATGACTTTAGATCATTGAGGAACAGCTACTACTGGTCTTCGACCGGCAGCATAGCGGTCCTCACACCATGACTTCAGATGGTTGAGGAACAGCTACGACTGGTCTTCGACCGGCAGCGTAGTGGTCCTCGTACCACGACTCCAAATGGTCGAAGACACCTACTCACTGGTTCTCTTCTAGTTAATCGTAGCGATCTCTCGTACATTTACTTCTAGTGGTCGAGTTACGACTACTACCTGGTTCTCGACCAGCGGTGTAGCGATTCTCCCATTATCTCTACTCCAACAAAGTTGGTATCAGGTACACAATATTACTAAGTGTTTTACCCAGAGATCCCTTACCACGACGACACGTAGCGTTGAAACCAATCCTACTGTCCCTTTATGCCGTCTTGACAAGGCCTCCGAGGAACCTAAGGGAACTTCGGTTGGGACGCCCAGAGCCGATAAGGCCTTGTCGGATCCTGTAGAGACAAAAGACCATGTAAGATCTGGTCGTGTAAGAGTTCTCGCCGTGCGTATTAACCAAGCCGTGTGATCGGAAATTGAGTTTTCCAACTTCACGGCTGAGGGCTAGGATCAGTGCTTATTCAACCAAGGCAGGTCAAGGGTCCAAGAGCCTTATCCTCCGAGAACGATTCTCCGACGACAAGGCTGGGGGCTAGGGAGAGTGTATGACTCTACAAACTGACTGATCGAAGTCGGTAAGAGAGAAGACGCTCATACACAAAACATTGGTCGGTAAATTTAATTCATTTTTAGTTTTCCATACATATTATAACATGTCACCCTTTGAGCGTTCGCTCGGGGGCTATTTCTATTTGATATTCTTTTCTGAGTATTGATTTCAGGAAAATTCTATTCAACACTGTCGAAGACTTCACGTTTCTATGGTTCTACACCAAGATCGACTGAGGCGAGTACGACAAATGTTGACAAGGCTCCATCGCAAGCTCTGCGCCTTCTCGATCGCTCGAGAACGGTTGGTGGATCTCGACAAGGAATACGGAATGAAGAGATGGTGTACCCGCCGAGATAAAATTTCTTGACTTCAATCCAAATTCTCGATTACAGCAAGACGGGAGACTTAGTTGTATGCTCTGTACTTTCTTGGTTGACGTCGGAGATGGACTCAGACAAACCCTTTAGGTGCCCGTACGAGGCTGATAAAGGAAGTCTAACGTTATCTCTGAACTCACCGAGAATGGTCACTTGAGCTCGATAACAGTTACTCCATGGTCAGCGGTCGAGAATATGAATTCATTCATTTCCATTGAAGTCGGGGGCTACTGTCAGGGTTATGGATACCACATACCTAATAGTAGTTGACTAAATCTCGACAGGACTCACCACATACCATGTCTTATACGGAAACTGACCTCGAGGGAGTTCCGGATAAGGAAAGACAACCAGAGTTCTACATGGAAACGACAAGGACTACTCGGATTTCCATATTGGTTTCTCGAGTTCTACTTGGGCAAGGGGACACTTATGGGTATAAATACAAGGCCCCCTAGGAGGAGAGGGGACACGGACAATCGACGACCACCTCAATCAACACCCACCACAATCTATGGAACAACAGAAGCCCACATACGCCAAGACAAGACGCCGGATATTAACTTCAGGGATAAGCACGGCTAGTCCCCTACGGTGTCTCCGGATACTGTCAGGAGAGACGAAAGCACTATCTATGATCTCGCCGGGCATGGATTCGAGGAGGAAGACTACCCTGTTGTCGACTACGAGTCAGAACTTCAGACCGCCATGTCGACAACAGTTAGATAGGCTACCCATATATTGTACTGGTGTGATTATGGTGAATAAAGAGCAAGTCCGGCTTCGGCCAACAGAATGTAGGGTTATTACCTGACAATTCAGGGGTCCGAACCTGTATAAAAATCCATGTCTCTGTCTCTTTTACCTCAGTCTCGCATATATCCTAGTACCAACGATCCCCATACTATGGAAATACCGGAATCGCGACATCAAACGTCGACAGTTAGTGTACAGGCCAGGGTCCTTGCCCCTTAAAGAAGAAAGGAACAACAACTTAGGCTAGCAGCTAGCCCTTTGACAGGTTGATTTGGTTTATATTTTCCTTAATTAAGGAAGCCACCTGACTCTCGCTTTGCACGCTTTGGCAGAAAATTCTTTGATTTCGTTCTAGCCAAATGTTCCACCATGTTATGAGAAGATCACCAAGAATCCGTTTCCTTGTTGCTAGCGGCTTGATCTTACAAAGCTCCACCCACCAATCTGTCAGGGTCGAATACGAGTTGTGCAAGGAGAAGGCATTGTGCCCTTGCCAGTGGCAGATTTTGTTCCATACCCAGACAAAGAAAGGACATTCTTTGGCTAGATGGTTAGCATCTTCAAAAGCACTTCTGCATAAACAGCAAATCCAATGGCATGGCCAGTGTCTTTTTAGAAAATTGTCAGCAGTTAGGGCTTTTTGATGTAAAATCAGCCAACCAAAGAAGCGTTGCTTTGGTTCGGCGTTCGTTGTCCAGAGTGGCAAGAAATTTGAGCTTGTTGTTCCTCCCTGAAATTGAGCTAGGTAGGCACTCTTTGCAGTGTATTGGCCATTGCCTGTCCATTTCCAGGAAATATCATCAGCTGTGTTTGAGTTTAGAGAAATATCATTCAGGATGCTTCCAAGACGCACTAGCTCATCAATTTCCCCCATTGAAGTGATAGGGCGAAGGCCCATCATCCAGTGATTGTTGTCTAGCTCCTTTTTCAGAGTGTTTGATTTCCTCTTGGCAAGGGAGAAAATCAAAGGAACAAGTTCTTTCAGACTCTTCCCCTCTAGCCAATGATCGGTCCAAAATTTGGTTTTCTCTCCATTACCGATGGTGATGATTGTGCTTGCGCGAAAAAGTTCTCGATCTATATTATCACATGGGGTCTCCATGTTAGCCCAAGGTTTGGTGTCATCCTTCCAGCCTTGACAGAGCCAACGAATTCTCAGTGCTCAAGCAAACTTTTCCAAATTTAAATTTCCCCAGTCCTCCCATCTCTTTTGGCTTGCAAACACAATTCCAATTGATCAAGCAGCTACCTGCACTTACATTGTCCGGATCTTCTGCTTTCCATAGAAAGGATCATCTTAGACGATCAATTCTTTTTATATAACCATTTGTTCTGATGAAGGACAGTGAGGTGGTAGATTGGGGCTGCTGACAGGGTGGATTTGACAAGGACTTCGCGACCAGCCGAAGTGAAGAATCTACCTTTCCATCCTGGTATTCACGAAGCAACTTTGTCCACCAGAGGCTGTAGGTCAACTTTCCTTAGCTTCCTAGTATGGAGTGGAATGCCAAGGTATTTACAAGGGAAGGTCTTCCTATTACCAGGGAAAGAAGGGAGGATAACATCTAAAGCATCTTCTGCACAGTTTATTGGGTAGATCTCTATTTTGCACATATTCGTATGGAGGCCACTGGCGTCAGCAAAGAAAAATAAGATTCGCCGCAAAGCCGATAATTCGTTTTTTTGTAGGTTTGGCGAAAATGGCAACATCATCAGCATAAAGTGAACATTGGAATCTTCTTTGTCTTTGGAAGAGATTAGATAAAATGTTTGCTTCCTCTGCCTCCTTCATGATTTGTTGTAGGGGTTCCATAGCTAAAATGAAAAGCATAGGTGATAGAGGGTCACCCTGTCTTAGGCCCCGTGCATGATAAATATGGTCCCCTGGTGCACCATTAAGTAAAATCCTGGAGGAGGATGTACCTAACAAGTTAGCAACCCAGTTGCGCCATTTTTGACCAAAACCGAAATTTTGGAGAGTCTCAAGAAGATATGCCCAGTTGACGGAGTCAAAAGCTTTAGAGATGTCCACCTTGATAAAGAGAGAAGACTTCTTTTGCCGATGAAGCAGTTTCACCATGTTTTGTACATAAAGAAAGTTGTCATGAATCACCCTTTTCCGAATGAAAGCACTTTGATTTTGAGAGATTAGGAGATTGAGCTTCGGGGGGCCAATCTATTTGCCAGGATTTTGGCTAGGATCTTGGCAAAGCTGTGCATAAGACTAATCGGCCTATACTCTCCAACTCTGGTAGCATCCCCTTTTTTTGGAATAAGGCAGATATTTGCTGAGTTCAAATCTTGTAATCTGTCTATGTTTTGATCACCAAAATGCAGAATTGCTTGTGTTAGGTCAACTTCAATAATCTCCGATCCCACGCCCGCTTAAAAAAGGTTCCAATGAAGCCATCAGGCCCTGGAGCTTTCTCAAGGGCCAAATTTGAAACCACTTCTTTGATCTCCTCTTCATCGAAATCTGCATCCAGGTCTGAGAGATCAACCTCCGGTAAATGCAGCCTCTCCCAGTTTAAACATTTTGTTCTTGTCGAAGGGACTCCTAATCTTTGATTGAAAAAAGGTTGAAGTTCAGCCTTCTTTTGGTCACATGTGATTGCAGTGCCAGATGGGGTTTCAAGACTGTGTATGAAATTCTTCCTCTTTCTCGAATTTGTTTTCATGTGAAAAAATTTTGAGTTAACATCTCCACATTTTAGCCAAGTCAATCTCGAGCGCTGGCGAATTCTTATCTTTTCAAGACTTGCTAGACCAAGGATCTTTTCTTTTAGTTCCTTTCGCAGCCAAAGTTCATCATCAGAGAGGGATCTTGTCTCCTGAGCCACATCAAGCTGGAAAATCACTTCGTTTGCAATTGCTAGTCTCAGTCAGAAATCACCAATATTTGTCTTGCTCCATCTTCGAATATCTCGTGCTAGGCAGCAAAGTTTAAGATGAAATTTTGCAAAAGGATTGGTTGATCCAATTGGTCTGTTCCAAGAATTTGATACAACCTCTAGAAAGTCTGGCATTTTAAGCCAGTAAGCTTCAAAGAGGAAATTTCTATTAATTTCTCTTTGCTCAGAGCCGACAATGAAGAGGGCGGCATGATCAGAGCTTGAAGAGGAGAGTGCGGACATATAAGCAGATCCAAAAAGAATATCCCAACTTGGGGTGAAGAAAGCTCGATCGATCTTGGTCTGTGTTGGGTTTGACCGAGCTTAGGCCCAAGTGAAACGCCTACCAGAGAGTGGCAACTCTTTAATCCCAAGTCTATCTATCGTTCCCCTGAAGCTCTGCATTAGTCTCATGTTCAAGCGATCATTATTTTTATCGGAAGCCTTGTAAATAAGGTTGAAATCACCTATTATTAGCCAAGCTGGGTTCATGCAGAGTTCTAGATGCTGCAGCTCTTCTAGGAAAAGGACTTTCTGCTCTTCTGACTGTGGTCCATAAACCACAGTGATTGACCATGCAATGTTTTCATCTTTCATCGTGATCGTGGCCGACAGACTGAAATCTTTGATCAAAACATCTGAGAGTGTGAAGTGGCTATTGTCACAAGCCAGTAAAATACCTCCCCTAGTGCCGATTGCTGGGAGAAAGGCATAGTCAGAAACAAACCGGGAGCCCAAAGTCTGGAGCACCACAGGATCTGAAAAGACTTCCAGTTTTGTTTCTTGAAGACATACAATTGTAGCTTTCATTTCATCGACTAGAAGTTTAACATTAGCTTTCCTGCTTGGGTTGTTAAGCCCTCTTACATTCCAGTTGAGAACAAAGCAGTTTTGCTGAGACATAACAAAAGGCATGCTGCGACTAACAGTTGATTGAAACCTAGGGGGTTATGACTTGAGGGAAGACACAGGCGAACATCTCTGAAACACAGCCAAGACAGATGGCAGAAACACGAAGAGATGATTAGGGCGCTGCAAGCTTCCATCGAGGATAAATTGGGAACTACTTCATTGCGGTCACTCCGGTGCCTCCTCCAGTACATTGGCAAGGGCACGGGCATCTTGACATCAAAGTTGCTCTTCAGGCCGGTGCGACCGTGGATGACTTCTTCCTCCCGCCAAGGCGGATCGACTTGCAACCTCCCTTCTCCACCAAAGTTGGAATGGTCTTCACAGCCACGGGGGAGAGATTTAATGCAGGCATCAAGTTTTTTGTTATCATCAAGAACACCGAAATTATTTGCAAGAATTTCTTGGGCAATGGTCTCTATCTCGAGTTTCGTCTTGCTTTGCTTGCTAAGCGCACACTGTGTCGCTGCGGAGAAAAAGTCACCTTGTTACGACAGGGGCGCCGAGTCATGTCGCCTGGAGCTGGGAGCATTGGCGTCGTCAGCTCTGCAAGGAAGGCTTCAACCGGCTGCTCCCTTGCCCTCTCCGGTGTCGCAAGCGTCGCCTGTCCTGCAGCAGAGAGCACAAAGACAGGGGAAACCGGCCTGGGTTTAATATACTTAAGAACTAGCATTGTGGTCCGCGCAGATTGCACGGCTAGCATCATTATATTTGCTCTCATATAATAGCATATATGTTTTCTCATTATATTATTAAAATATATTAAAATGATAATATAATTTTAAATTTTGCAATAACTCTCATATTATTTATTTTTATTTCTTAATTTTTATTATTTCTAATTTTATTTCTATGTGGACTCTAAACTCATCTTTGAATATTCTTTTAATTTTTAATTTTTCGAATTTCAGTACTTCTAAATTGTATTCCTATATTGACCTTAAACTCTTCTTCCCATATTTTTCTTAATTTTAAATTTTAGTTATTTGTAAATTATATTTTTATACGGACTCTAAACTCTACTTTTAATTTTATTATGTTTATTTCAAATTTTAGTTAGTTTTAAATTCCTATATGGACTCTATACTCTACTTCTAATATTCCTTATTTTTAATTCCGAATTTCTATTTTTTTCTTAATTGTATTTCTATATAGACTCTATACTCTACTTCTAATATTTCTTATTTTTAATTCTGAATTTCAGTTATTTCCTAATTGTATTTCTATATGGACTCTATCCTCTACTTCTAATATTCCTTATTTTCAATTCCGAATTTCAGTTATCTCCTAATTGTATTCCTGATTGTATTTCTATATGGACTCTAGTCTCCTCTTCTAATATTCCTTATTTTTAATTCCGAATTTTAGTTATTTCGTAATTGTATTTCTATATGGACTCTAGTCTCCTCTTCTAATATTCCTTATTTTTTAATTCCAAATTTCAACTATTTCTAAATTGTATTTCTATATGGACTCTAGTCTTATCTTCTAATATTCCTTATTTTTTAATTCCGAATTTCAGCTATTTCTAAATTATATTTCTATATGGACTTTGCTTTTTCTTTTTTCTGATTAATGTGAGAATTTCTAGGCCATGAGAGCGAACGTGGAGGCTCATTTTTCTATTCCTTTAATAATATAATAGATGTATGTCGGATTAAAAAAAAATCATTTTATCCCAGTTACATATAATTTTTTCTATTGTCACACAAACTTATTATCACTATTTTAAAAGTTAAGTATATATTAAAAGATGAAACTGTACATGTGTCTCACTTATTTCCAAATCGGTATATATATAAGTATTCTAAAAATACCACTTGTACCGATTAATAGGATACACCATTAAAATTAAACCATTAAGGTTAAACATAAATGCCCATTTAGTGGGTAAAGCCAGTCATAATCGTCAATACTTTCTTACTCTACTGCCTTAAAAGATAGGTCTCTCATCGAGATAGCTGTGCTCCCATGAGATCAACCTGGAACACAATTTTAATGTCTAATTTACTATCACATCCTTATGTAGTATTGCATTGGTACACTGGGACCGTCTTAACTCAGCCTATATACGCCCCTGTTATACTTACGATAGCGTAGCAAATTCTATTGTTTATGCTTGGTGCCCCTCAAGGAACGACAAAGGAAATATAAAGTTGATCAAGATAGCTGTTTTTTAAGTTTTGAGTAGATTTGTGGTATAGAGTAAACACAATATGTTTAAAATTTTAATCATTACTACTCATATTTTTACGGTACAACTAGAATACTCTCATTCAAAAAGAAGCGAGGTCCATCACCTGATGGTGCCTAAAAGAAAGGCAAATTTTGCTACAGGACATCCTTAAATCATGGTATTAGCCCAGGGACATCGCACGAAGTCGGTTTTGGGGGAAGACATCTCATAAACGTGGATATTAGCCAGAGGATACCGCGCCCATTAAAATATACTATCCGTGCTGACTAGGCGCAGGGGGGGGCCCTTTTTTTTTGCGCGAACAGACCAAAATGCCCCTTGGGCCATCTGCTCATATCGAGCTGGTTAGACTCGATCTGTTCGAGTCGGTCAAACCCTAGCTCGCCATTCTCCACCACCACCGACGCCCACGCCGCCGACTCCTCCGCCACCGCTCTTCTCGCCATCCCTGACCAACCGCACACCGGGATGCAAGGGTGAACCGTGCTGTGTGTGGATCTATCCTCTGGTGATGTCTACACCGCCGTCACAGGGGGTGGTGGCATGCACGCCACGGCCGGAGAACCCGAAATGGTTGCCAAAAGGGTAAGTTTTATTTCCGCTGCTTTTGATTCGTTCGGGATGAATGGCTTGGTGAATCTGATTTGTTGGGCTTGTTTTACGCTATATTTGCCATCGCATTGTAGGATGGATCCAAACTCTGCATGCAGAGTTGTCATTAATGTTGTTGCTTATGTTGAGTACATGGATAATGGTAGCCAAGATTATCATGTTTCAAGTGTTATTAAGTGGGTTGTAGATAAGGACGTCACCTGTTGGATAGATTTTATGAAGGACTTGGATGATGAAACCATCCGTGGTAGTGCCCAAGAGCTGACAGTGACTTTCTAGGACAAAAGAGTGGGTAGGGATGTTGAAATTTCTTCTGATGCTATTCTATTAGAGGCTTTAAACCAGTATTGGGATGTTAGGAAGCTTACAGTACAAGTGACTGTGAGTGAGGGTGGCATGCCTTGTACCCAAATTGTTTCTTGTGTGGAGGAAGCTAGCACAGTGGTTCCACTGAGTGTGATCTTACCCACACAAGAAAGTCAGGCTAAGAATGTGCCAACCAAAAAACATAGAAAGGCCAAAGACAAAGGTAGTGATCATGCTATTCCAAATCCAAATCCATGGGGTGAGTTTGATGAGGTTGAGTATGTAGGAGTGAGTGATGAGAAGGAGAATTATAATGACTTGGTGTCAGATGATGAGGCCAATGATCCAGAGTATACTCCTGAAGATGATGGTGATGAAGAGAATGATGAACCAGTAGATGATCTAGAAGTCAATGATAATAGGGGTTGTGAGTCTCTAATCCATATAACAGATGTAGAAAATCCAAGGATTGAAGTTGGTGTTACTTTTGAGGATGGACTTTGTTTTAAGAGGTGTATGAGGCAATATGATGTTCTGAAAGAGGTTGAACTTGCAGTTCCCTACTCTGAGGCCACAAGGTACAGGGCCTATTGCAAGGCAAAGAGGTGCAGATGGAGGATCCATGCTTCAAGGTTGCTAGATGGTCAAACTTGGCAGGTATGTAGCTAAATCTTTATTGTTTTTTTTTGTCAATTCTATTCCTTTTATGCCATTAAATGATAATGTCAAATCTGTAACTTTTTTGTTGTAGATAAAGAAGATGCCATACAAGCATAGGTGTGCTAGCAATAGGGGCCAGTAACTCTTGGGTGAAGGACAGAGTTATCAGTAAGCTCACAGAAGATCCAACAATAGTGGCTGCTTCTCTGAAGAAGACTTTAGAGGAAAAATATTGTATTAAGCTGTCATACTATGTAGTTTGGGATGGTAGGCAGATGGGTCTAGATGAGATACTTGGTGGATGGGAGCAAAGCTTTGAGGCTGTTTACAGTTTTAAAGCTGAGATTGAGAAGAGATCCCCTGGTAGTATAGTTGAGATAGAGTATGATGTGGTAAATGACAAGCACAGGTTTAGTAGAATGTTTATTGCTATGAAGCCCTGCATAGATGGCTTTTTGAATGGGTGCAGGCCATACCTAGGCATTGATTTAACTGTGTTAACAGGCAAGTGGAGAGGGCAGTTGGCATTTGCTATTGGTATAGATGGCCACAACTAGATGTTCCCAGTGGCTTATGCAGTTTTTGGATCTGAAACAAACGAGAACTGGGAATGGTTCATGGTGTGCCTTAATAAAGCAATTGGATCTCCACAGAGACTAGTACTGTCTACTGATGCAGGCAAGGGCATTGATGTAGCAGTGACAAGGGTGTTCAATAATGGAGTAGAGCACAGGGAGTGCATGAGACATCTGTACAAAAATTTTCAGAAAAGGTTCCATGGAGAAGTTTCTGAAAGAAACCTGTGGCCAGCTTCAAGAGCATTTAGGAAAGATGTTTTTGAGAAGCATTTCAATATCATGAAGGAAGCATCCCCATGAGCAATGCAATGGATTGAAGAGAATCACCAGCATCTCTGGGCAAGGTCTACCTTCTCCACTGCAGCCAAGTGTGACTATGTCACAAACAACTTTGCAGAGACATTCAACAGTTGGATTAGGCTGAAGAAGTCACTGCCTGTGATTGAGCTACTTGACAAGATTAGGCAAATGATCATGGAGAGGATGTGTACAAGATATAAGCTATCCCTCAGGCTTCAAGGCAATATATTGGGAAATGTAATGAAGCAACTCCATGACAAAAGTAGGAATCTCAACTACAATCACCACAAGAGTCAGCCATTTGTAGGGGAAGTCAGTGGTGTAAATAGCGACTTGACTACCTGGAGGCATACAGTGGACTTGACTAAGCAAGAATGTAGCTGCATGGAGTGGCAGCTAACAGGCCTCCCATGTAGGCATGCCATCTCTTTCATTGGATCTCTGAGAGAAGTGCAGCTGGAAAACTATGTCAGCCCCTACTATTTTGTGGAAATGTTCAAGACAGCTTATTCCAAAACTGTGCCACCAATGCCAGACAAGAGCCTATGGGAGAAGGTGGATACTGGATTCAAGATGTAGCCACCAATACTAAAGAGATCAGCTGGTAGACCTAGGACAAGGAGGTTCTTTGGAGTTGAAGAAGGGGGGTCAGGAAAGAAAAGAAGGAGATGTAAGAGGTGCCATGGCTTTGGCCACCTACAGAAGACCTGCAATGAACCAGTGTATGATCCAGATGCCTCGCCCCCAGCCCCACCCAAGCCTAAGAGAGTCAGAAAGAAGAAAAACAATCCTGAACATGTGCCTAATGCTGATAATACAACTATGTAAGTGTCCTGCATTTTCAATTGTCTGAATTTAACAACTTTGTTAATGTGTTTTCTGCATTGCATTTACGATTTTCTGATTTTCTCATGTCACAGCCCTGCTGCTGCTGAACTTGGTGATCTGGATGTTGCTGCTGGTGATCAAGCTGTTGTTGGTGGTGTTGAAGCTGTTGCTGGTGCTGTTCAGGCTTTGGCTAGTGATCAACCATCTGGAAGCCCTGGACCAGTTAC